TTCTATATTTTAGTGGTTTTCACTTAGTTTCCCAATGAGTCAAGTCCAGAACCAAACCATAAAATATTTTCTTTTCATGATGACACCAGTGATAACACTGATAGAAGCAAACATTTAACTGAATTTAACTGAATTTTCTACTCTAAAAAGTGAAGTGTTTGTCCCTTCATGTACTTTTCCCTACAGTGTTATACAAAGTCATAACCCCAGAATCAGTGAGAATCATAATTTAACCTTCTTTCTTGCGAGGAACTGGATTGTGAAAGTAATTAATATCCCAGATATGAAGTATTTAAACCTCTGACATTTTGCACCGCAGAGAACTTCTCTAAACCATGGTACTTAGTAGCTGGACCAGGAGATCATCGTTTTAGATTCTCACAATTTTGTGTTTCTGGTATACAATACAGATTTAGGTTTTAAATTTTTATGTTTTATATATGTTTTAGATTGCATATATTTTAGGTTTTTTATTTTTATCTTTAATTGCTATTATTTGGAGCAGAAATAGTCAGTATCAAAAACATATTGATAAGAAACATTACAATGTCCAATGAAGTTAACATAGTGTGAAGCAAGATATTTTCAAAATAGAAGTTCATATTCATGTATTTATCCAGAAAGGAGCATTCTTTACAAATCAAAATTAGAAACATAACATTAATTAATTATTTGGTTTGATTTATCTGGGGATGATCCAGTCCATGTTAGAAGACCAAATTACAGCTAAAATCACTCAGTTTTCTGCATTGTTGAGACCATACCCAAATTATTATGTCCTTTGGTAGTGCTTCTGTCCTTTGTTTAGTTCATCTACATCCTCTCTGATCTGGACTATTGCAATAGTGTATTAGTCACTTTCCCATTGCATGCAAAATACTCAATACTTGCAACTTAGAGGTTCATTTTTCTCATGGTTTTAAAGGATTCAGCCTACAATTTTCTAGCCTGAAGGCAGAAATGGCATGGCAGAAGAGCGTGATGAAGGAAAGCTGTTCCACCCACAGCAACTAAGAAGCAGAGGGAGAAAGAGAAGAACTGGAGACAAGAATATACCCTTACAGGTCACACTCCTGGTGAATGCCTCACTGCCTCACATTTTCAACTCTAAACTGATTAATGGATCAGTACACTGGTATGTATAATGCTCCATGATCCAATCACTTCAAAATCTCCACTTTGAACACGTGAAACTTTTGGCAGACACTTTAGATCAATACCATAACCATCTTCCAACTAGTATCTTACTATTTTCTTCTCTTCTGTGATCCGAAGTGTTATCTAAAACACAAAATCGTGAAATATCTTTATAATCAAGAAAACATTAGCTCTCTAACTTCCTGAGCATGGCATTTAAAGCCTTTTTGATTTACTAACTACAATCTTAGTTTGCTTTACAGAAACTAAAGTGCTTTTCTGGTAGCCAAAACTTTTCCAACGGAGAACATTACACCATGACTATTTGTCTTTCTTTTTATTGGTACATCTAGATGAAATATTTTCTTTTTTCTCCAATGCATTTCTCTCAGCAATCCTTACCTCCCCAGTGATCTGGAAAATTCTTAGTTTAAGACCCATGCTAAATGTCTTCCTCTCTTCATGTCCCAGCATCTGGTTCACAGCTTAGCTGAAGAATTTATCATGCTGAGTTAATTACTCATTGAGGCATATAAACAGTTTTTATAAACAAATGATTCAAATAACTGAATCCTTCAAAGAGCATTGGTTTCGTGTATCTTGAAATCTTCAAAATGTGGGACTGTGTACACATGATATACAGTAGTTACTCAATCCATGTTTTTGATGATCCATCTTCTAACCAGTAGGATATTCTTCCTCCAGCCCAGAAGCTACAACGAAAATGTTAAATTGAAAGATAATCTGTGTCTAGACACAGTGCTGAGAACAGGAAGAAACTTTAGAAATAATTCTAAAACCAAGAAAACATAAAATATTTATTTTAAGGAAATCTATAAAAATATAATGTTTGTTTTTCACTATTGGCTGAACTTTTTTATTCAGGGAGACCAAAGACAGTCTTTTAAGAACCTAGCATTTAACTTTTCTCAACTTTTCACTGTATCACTTCTCTCTAAATTTATTCAGTGATCCAAGGCCTCTTACTGGGCAATGGCAAGAAGTTATTTTCAAGTGGAGAAATTCAAATCTTCTTTTATAAAGCTGACAGTAATTTTTAACTTGTAAATAAGCCCTAGAAAAATAGTGATACTTCAGTTTATTAACTTAATTTGTTTTATGAAATTGAGTAAGATTGCTGTGTTTGTGCTAGTGTTTGTGTTTCTGGAGGGGAGGGTGGAAGATGACTATGCCTGTGTTTGTCACCTGATGCAGAGTTTGCGCACAGAAGCAAAATTTTGGCAAAGGCTTCTATTTGTAGGACAAATTGTTTGCAAACAAAAATGTTCTTGAACCAAGGAGCAATATTAGTGTACTCTGTTTCTTATGGTACAACAAACAGTTAAGGCAGTAACTGAAGGAAAGTGCATTTACTGAAAACACCCGAAGAAGGAATATCAGTGACTTTGTTAAACTTAATGTTTAAAAAAGAATAAAGCTGATAAAAGACTAGATCCAGGAAGTAGCAATCACAGAAATAGTAGCTCTGATGGATTACTTCATCACAATCTGCCAGGCATTCCACACACTTGGGTTTATTGTTTGCACCATAAACCATAATCCTCACAGGTAGTTATCTAATTTTATTGACCAGGTGTAGAGGACTACTTGCCAAAATTTTATAACTACAAAGTAAGTAGGTCATAATTTGAACTCAGATCTATTTTACTACAAAACCAGTGTTCTATTGGCATTCTTTAGGGAACAATTTAAAAAGATAAGAAGGTAAAAGAGACTGTCAGTTAGTGAAAAGTTAATTAAAGATGACCTCAAAGAGCTAATTAAGTCAAGTGATGAGAATGGTGACAGGAAAAGAGACTAAAATGAAATTAACATTATGGCATTGGAAAGTAAATCATCACCCTCATGCAACAGTAACGTGGTTTAAATTCACACTTTGGTAGAGCAAATACAAAATCCAAAGTAAAAAACTAAAGATTTGTAGAATTCATTTCACAGATGTTATATGGACATCTTTGGAGAAAATCACAGTGGCTATCAATCACAAAGCATTTACTGAAACCTCTGCTAGCTATGCCTGAAAGTACAGTAACATTTCTTCCATCACCAAGCCATCCCTGCACTTCCACAACCATCCCTTCTATACAAGTTGTTTTTTCCCACTGTTAGTGACCACTAAGCAAAAGCAGTGCATGCATTCATTGTCAAGCATTCTTGTGTCTATAAATTCATTACACAGGGCCTTGACCTCCAGGGGCTAGGTGTTCAGGGGTTAAATCAAGTGTTTGCTGATAAGTTGGCTATTTCTACATCACTTCCCATAAGTGTAACCCATGAAAATATCTAGCATTCAATCTAGGAACAAAAACATTAACAAAATAATATGCTGTCATATTTGAAAATCGTTTCCACAATTCTGCAGCAGTCTTATTCACTCAGTGTGTTTCTGATTACTGGTAGTATTTTCCATTATTATATCAGTATTTTTCTAGGGAAATTGGAAAATACAATTTTAGAGATTAGTAATTGTTATAGTGGAAAATTAACAATCAAATAGCATGATGACAAATACAATCTTACTTGACTCCATTACAGTAAAGAACTAGATAATTCAAAATCATTGTATTTGATGATAAAGTGTACCGCTAAATCTAAAAATGTGTTTGTGTGTGTGTGTGTGTGTGTGTGTGTGTGTGTGTGTGTGTGATTTGAGCATAGTACATGCCTATAATCCTACTGCTCCAGAAGCTGAGGCAGAAAGATTACTGAAAGTTCAAGGCCAGTCAAGGGTACATAGTGATTTAAATCAGCTAAAACTACAAAGTAAGACCCTGTCTGAAAAAACAAAAATTTTTTTAAAAATGTACACATGGACAGTTATTTCAAATAGGCAAATGAAGACAATGGTCACAGTCAGTGTTATATCCTGAAGACTAAGGGGAATTTAAAAAAAAAATAGATGATTATATATTTCTTCATTAACTGTGCTGTGTTTGAACATGAAGGTAAAAAAGCACTACGCAGCCTTTTAAGAATATTAAATGCATTCTGATATTTACCTATTCTTAGGAATATGCAAGACAAGTAATTAGATGGTCAGCACTTAATAAACACGTTTTCTTCATTTATTGGTTTATGTTTTCCTTATTGTAATACTAAAAAACTAATAAAGGGCATATAAATGATGGTTTTCTATTATTCAACATCAAATGCATTTTGAAAATTTCATGTGTGTTAAGAAAAAGTTATGGAAACTGAATATCATACCTTCTAAAATGTCTCCACTTTGGACAGTCCAATGCCACCTAGTGGCATTTTTAATTAACCAGTTTTGATACATGGTATAATTTTTATTCAGTGCTACCTTGATATGTGACTTATTTCTAATTATCAGAATAAAGTTGGAACCTGACAATGATAATCTTTCCCAAACATTTGCTTTGGGAATAAACTGTTTCTAGATTGATTTTAGTACTATAGAAATAATTTCTTTTGTATACTGTTTCTTTTATCACATGCTCAAACAAAACAATTAATTACCTAAATAAAATATAAAATATTCAACTATTAAAGTAAGTTATCTCTTTATGTCAGTTGCTATCATTTCAGAAATTTCGAGTGTGTGACTTCTAATTTCTTTTGTGTTTATGTCTTCTGGACTTATTCCGGGCTGGAGGTCAGGACTGCATCCTGCTCACTCGTCCTGCGATGCAAGGTTCCCTGGGTGGTGGAGAAGTGTGAGGTAGCTGATCATCAATGTTCCCCCAGTGGTGGCAGGGCCTCGAGGCATGGGTTCTTCTCCTCTGGCCCTACTGCAGCAGCCTTACCAGGCGTGTGGTTTCTAGTCCAGCCAGGGGCAGCAGGCTCACGGAGGTAGAGGGGTTGGGGGTGGGGGACTAGTTGTTTTTTTTTTTCTAATGAATTGAAAATTACATTTGTAAAGTTCTGAAATGGCCAAAAGACCATAGAAAGATATCTCTTTAGGCTCCTGCTTGAAACCAACAGCTTCAGAAAACTACCGACCTTGATTAAGGGTCATTGCTCTCATGTTTTCTTCTAATAATTTCGTGGTGTCTATTTCATATCATTTCACCTCAATTATGTATGCATTATTTTTAAACTTTATTAAAATTATTTTTCATAACAAAGTAGAGGTTACATTTTTCTCTATAGGGGGCATTTTTTAATGTGAGTGCTTGATCAAAAATTTGGATTATATTGATGGCTATCAAATTATTTTATTACTTGGTTACCCTTGAGTTATTATGCCAGTTTTGAGAAAAACTGTTGAATTTCTATACCTACATGCTCATAGGATAAAATTTTTAAATATTTGGTATGAATTTTAAAAAATTTAATATAATTACCTTTTGGCTCTACTTTCTATCTCTTTAATTCCAAAAATATATATTTTCTAGCCTTTATTTTTTTCACAGACCTTAAAGAGTATATTCCTTTTAGTACAGCTCTTCAGCCATGATACTCCAGCTACTTTATATATTATCATAAAATACATCATTCTGAACACTTTTGAGGCTCACAGTGCAGCACGTTGACAATTTCACTCTTTCATTCCTCATACATTGGATGTTACTTTACTTGCTTTTTGTAATTTCTTTGGTTAATGTCTATGTTCCTTTATAAAAATAAGAAAAAGTAAGCCTTTATGTTTTTAATTCCCTGGAGCAGATCTTCAATTGCAGTTACTGAACAGACACACATGGGCCAAGAGATGAAGAAAAGCAATGTCAAAGGATGCTTTCTTCTGTTAAACTTCCTGGTCACACAACCGAGGAGCATATCAAAGAAGTTACTTCACAGTTTCATTAGAGTATAGAGGACATGCTTGTCATTCCTCAGTTCTTCCATCTACGTCCTTACTTAAACCAATTTAAAACTATGGTTTCAATTATCTTTATGATGAAAACTCCTATGTAAGAATTTAAAAAGTTAGGGAGGAATTTATGTCTGCTACTCTTAAGAGGTTTCAAGTAATTTCACTACAGTAAAGTACTAATAACAGGATTTGAAAACAACATTCTCCTTTGGACCATAGACTCAAGCCATCTGAAATGATTCTAAGCAAATGAAAAATGGTACAACAATAAAACTGAAGTGATCTTCCAATGAAGTCATTCATCTTTATAAAAGAACAAAAAGCTAGTTTATGATGATGCACAGGGTAACTTGCAGAAAGAAAGCTGCAGGTAGTCGTCAGACTCATACAGATCAAAGTTGCAAAGAGAAAGTAGATTATTTTTCAATTATCAGTGATATGTAGCCTAATTTTGAATTAAGTACCGTTAAGATATCACTAACTTTACAAAGTGTTATGCCCAGTCATGCTTCCATTAGCAATGCATCTTGGTACTTTGGTAGCACTGTTAATATCTTAAACATTTAATATTTAAAATTTTAGAAATAAATACATTATAAAATATATAGCTATTTGTATTCATATACATGCACATCTAATTTTGCCAGAGAATATTTTATTTATTCCTTTTTTCCTCATTAGAATTGTGAATGCTTGCTCAGCAAAATATTTGTGTCTCTGAGCTGGCTAGTATGATTGGACCATTAGCATCTCCCACAGTCTAAGTGCCATCCATGTGTGTTAACTTAAACATATATTCTTAGGTTCCCAGGACAGCATAGGTTAAGTGATATGAGCATTGCCTAGGAGTCAAGAGTGCTAGATACCTTGATATAGCTATTAATTTGCATTGGAACTATGGGAAAGTAACTTCATACAACATGTAATTTTTCATCTGTTAAATAAAGTAGAACCAGATCATCTCTACGGTCCTTGAATCTCAGGAATATTACACATACATATACATACATGTATGTGCATGCATGTTATATACAACACAATATGTGAAATATACAAATATATATATATATATATACATATGAAACTATACAGTCCTTTTAAACTCCTTTTATTAAGTTCAGTTTTACCATTCATAGCTGAAAATCAACTTTGACAATCTAATTTATATGTGACAGAAAAACCATTTTGTCCTAGTTTACGTGACTGTTGAGTTGGGAAGATACACAAACACTTAATGAGAACAGCATGTGATACATAATATTTGTTACAATCTTAGGTGAAGTTAACTCTCACATATCTGAGATTATATTGATCAATGAAATTAAATAGCTGGCCTCTCCTAGAAAGTGGTAGTGAATAGGGATAATTGCCAGCTCCTTAACAGCTGAAACAATGCTGTTGAGGGTAGACTCCAGAGTACAATTCAAAGATAGTACTGAAGGCCTAGGAACCCACTCAGTTCCACAGTTTTGAACACTAATGTGATTTCCTTCAGTAGAAGGCCCATGATCTCTTCAGTTATGCAAAGGTAGCTAAGTGAAACAGAGATGACATACAAGTAAATTTCTTCTAAGATATCATTGCTAGAAGTATCGAGATGCATAACTACCTTAACATAAAGCAGTAGTTAGCTTTTAATCTACTGTAGATGCTTAGCAGTTACATATTAAATGCTGTTAAAGCTTTGTTCTGTAAATAACTTTGACTTCCAATACCTTTAAAACTTTGTTATAAAATAGATAGAAATACTAGAAAAGGTAAATACATTGCTATTTGCTTTGTACTTGTACAAGTTTGCTTCCATATCACTGTTTACCTAGTCAATGAACAATATTTGACCAGTAGATAATTGGTGAGTTCTTTTTAACTCTCCTTTTTGATTGTTTACTGTTCCCTAAACTCAGATTAGAGTTTTCAAAGTTCAGTAAACTAATTTTCTCAGGTTAGTAAATATTTACAGGTTTTATTCCTAGCATTAGTCAAAATGTATTGGCTGCATCAAGAGCAAGAGTTAATCAAATAAAACAAATTTTCAAATCAAGTACATTATTAAAATCTAAATGAAGTTTTAATATTCTTTACCATGAAAAAATCTATAATGTAATATATTAAAATATAACTAGCAGATAAACATTTAAATACAACACCCAATAAATAGGAAACCCATGGCTAAAATTAAGCACACTGATTTACAATTTTTTTCTGGTAAAAACATGACCAAAGGTGTCTTCCACATGTTGACATTAGACTCATGTTTTTCTCTTCTGATCAGATACTGTTTCAAAAATATTTCTACTTCAAACAATATTTTACCAGCATGTGTAGGCAATGTTTTCACAACATTTTTAATAAATTGGACAAAGCCTTTGAAATTCAAGACTCTTAACCACAATTGAGAACGAACCATGTTGCCAGCAATTGTTAGTATTTAATATTTTAATTGAAAAGAAGGAAGGAAATAAATGAGGAAAGGCATGGAAATGAGAAAAGAAAGAAAAAGAAAAGAGCAGAAAATGAAAGAAAAAAGAAAAAGGACTGTCTGAAGTCTTCTACTTTCTCAGTTAAACACAACACACTACGTTCACTACATTTGTCTTTCCACCACAGTAGACAGACAGATACACCCGCATTTCCACACATATCACAAGCTACCCAGCAGTATACCTGGTCTAGGTTCTTCCTCAATACCCATATGACATGAGTGCCATCTTCCTTTATTACTGTATCTGTGAGGTCTATGAGATAAAAGTCTCCTTTTCAATTGACACACCCTAATTTAAAGTTAGTGCCTCACTATTGGCATGGTCTGTCTGTCATCTCTATTAAATATAGTGCTATTGGAGCAGGTTATTAATCACACAGATGCATCTTGTAGGACACATGCTGTTTAGAACACATTTTTGTCTTTGTTTTGAACTGTTGCTCCTTGAAGATTTAAGATATTCTAGGTAGCCATTAGTTTTAATCAGAATTTTGCCATTATGAGAAAAAAATAATATAATTTTAGTGCAAACCAACAGCATGCCATTGGAATAGACTTAACATGAAGATGGATGATCTGTTTTACACATACATAGTTTTTTATATAAAGATCATTTGTTATATATAAATTTAACTTGATTATTATTTTTTTAACATAGAATGAAATGGAATACAGAAGGATCTTATTAGATAGGGCTTGGACTCCCACACTACAATTTCAAACAACCAAATCACTTGCATACTAATCTGAAATTGACAATGATACATATAATAAACTAGAGAGGATAAATCAAATATTTAGCTGCCTGTGTTTCTGTGGCCAAAGTATAAGAAAGAATGTAGCCAATGTCCTCAGAATAACAAACTGGAGAAATTAGTGTTCTCCCTGGGTCACCAGTGCTGTGGTCCAGCATTGTCTCAACAAGCACAGGAGAACTGTGGAGTGCTGCCTCTTGCCCAGCCACACTGTGTTAATGAGCACAGGCAAATGTCTCCCTGAAGGGCAAAGGTTCTCAAACTTTAGAGAGGCTCAGTCTCAATTCCAGATTTCCTAATTTAGTTGTCAGCATCCTACAAAAGCAGCACAGGTGATTCTAAAGCAGGTGGCAGAAAGATGCCGCTTTATAAAACATTACCTTATGGTACATCGAAAATGCACCCTCCTCCAGAGTCTGTATTCTGAAGTGCAGTTTGAAAGGTATTGGATCATGGAAGTGGTATGCTCAGCAGTGGCTCAATCTATTGATGTGTTCATGGCTGACTGTGCTGTGAAAAGCAGGGCCTGGTTTAAAGTGGGTCATTGAGTCCCTGGCCTAAAAGGGTATATTCTTGTCCCCAGCTCTTCCCTCCTCACTCTGCTTCCCAGATGCTAGGAAGTGAGCAGGTTTTCTCCACTATGCCCTTCCACCACGATGCCTTCGCCTTGGAGACCACCAATATGGACCAAACGTGCTGAATCATAAGGTAGATTAAATCTCTCTTTCTCTCCTTTGTGGGTGTCTATTATTTTGTCCCCAAAACAGGAAAGCTAAGTAATGTAAGGCTGCATGACACATAGGTATATCAGTAAAATATATATGTCAGGTGACATCTTTTTGTTTTCATTGGCATTACTATGTTACCTAATTTTGGAGAGAAAATAAATATTAATTTCACTGAGGATTAATTGAATTGAAGGAAGGAATTACTTAAATTTTTGTGAGATACCAGAGGTGTTACAT